TGCAGATCAGTACAAAAATTTCAGTGATTGCGCAGTCAGTGTTGCCAAATTTTTGTGAAAATTTTATGTGAATTGTTTGGACGGTTTTTGAAATATTAGAAGAAATTTCGATAATAATTTGGCACGCAGTGTTTATATATATATATATATATATATATATATATATATATATATAACGAATGCACGGTCACAATTTCGACGGATTTGCACCAAAAATTTACATACACATGCTCCAAGTTAGCAGGAAGGACAAGACCGACTTTGCATTTCCCAACTCCCATCGATAGTGGAAATAATCGATTTTTCATGCTTCTACGGCTTGAGTTTTCATGTAGTTTGCGGCCATTTTCCACTGGCCAGAGTGAGACCTATATCTGGCTGCCACGAATAGGCAGGAAAATTCCGTTGGCCAGCGTGAGAGCCAGCAGCTGACTGACACGAATGTTAACTAAGCACTAGTATGCAAAAAAAATAAAAATCGGTAGCTGCATTCGTCACGAGTGGGAAAAATTTAAATCTGCATGGCACTTTACTCCAATTGGCTCATTCGCTTTGCTTAAACTCGACGTTGATTCTGATTCCGCAGAACTGGGTTGGGTGTGAAAAATTTATTTGTTGTTAACATTCTTTTTCATTCGGTTTTCCAGTTACGAGTCGTTTTGTGTTCATTTTGTTTAGTTGTTTTTTCGTAACAGATTTAATGTTTAGTATAGAGCTTAGAAAAAATTCGCAGTGTAAGATAGGCAAGAAGTAAGGCATGTAGCAATATCAGCACGGCAAATGGCACTCCTTTAAAGGCAAGGAAGGGCAAAAATATTTAAAGTCAAGTGATAGCGATTGCTGTATGAGTCGTGCGATTTTTGAATCAATCACGGGCAACGCCGGGCCATGCCGCTAGTATATATATATATAAAAAGACTTAATTGATTTATTTTAATCCGAAACTCTTATTACTTCAAACGTTATTTTTATTACAAATACAGTTATATATATATATATATATATATATATATATATATATATATATATATATATATATATGTGTGTGTGTGTGTGTGTGTGTGTGTGTGTGTGTGCGTGCGTGTGTGTGTTGTGTGTATATAGGAAGCATTTTTTCATTAAATAATATAGACAAGTGTTGTCTATTTATTTTATGTAAATTCTTTGCATAACGTCTGATACGCTTAATAACATTATCATTAAAAGAAGAAAGAAAATCACAATATTGATACATATTTTTTAATCTTATATAAGCTTTCGGCTTACATAAGCCATTATCAAAGATGACAATTACATTACAATATATTAAACAATACACGGACAAAACTTGTCTCTATTATTTAATGAAACATGCATCACTATATATATATATATATATATATATATATATATATAGATAGATAGATAGATAGATAATTGATAATATTAGTGGTAAATATACACATACATATGCAAAATATGTAAATATATATACATACATACACATACATATATATTTGTATAAAAAAAAATTCCAAGAGGATAGAAACCAAGTAGAACTCAATGTCCAGGACAGAGTAAAGGAAATAATAAAAAACTTAAACACTAATATTCCATAATGACCATTGAATATTAGTGTTTAAATTTATTATATATATATATATATATATATATATATATATATATATATATATATATATATATTTATATATGTTTTATTCTAATATTTAATTTTTAATAATATATAAATATATATATTTCAAAGATATATATATATATTTAAAGATATATATATATATATATATATATATATATATATATATATATATATATATATTATATGAAAAATGGACGAGGTCCGACAATTTATTTATTAAAGACATTTTTTATTTATGTTTAATCTATAAAATAACAACGTTAAACATAAATAAAAATGTCTTTAATAATATATATATATATATATATATATATATATATATATTTATTTGAATCGTTGTTAGTCATATTTTCATATTTAGTTTTTCGATAATGCTGATTACTTTCTTGATGTCAGGTTCATATTTAAAATATATATTTTCTTATGTCTGATTATATTCGGCTACCATTGAAAATGAAATTGACGACATAATAAAAATCGAAGAAAAACTAAACAATAAAATTCTTTGATAATGGCTAAAAAGTACTCAGACATTGAAAGACATATTTCCAAAGATGAACCTCAAATTAAACCTTAAACTTTCTGTCCTGGAGTAACAAGGTACGTCACATGTTTCACATATGATATCATTTCCAAGTCCTTTTTTTTTTACTGCTTTTTGGACTCCCATAGCTGAAACTCTTCTTGCACGGGCCAAACGTCTTATAGATTGAGTTGGATCTTTTCTAATTGATCTGTAAGTTGAAATGAAGATCCTTCTTGCTGTTGTAACCTCCTGATCTAGTATTTCTGTCTACAGCTAACCTCTTTTTTAAAACTTATTCATCGTTCTCTTGATGTTTCTTGAAAGGACTTTGAAGATGGAAGCCAGAGAGAGTATGAATGTTGGTACCATTACTGAGAGCCTTAACGTTCTTTTTCCTCTAACTATTGCTCAGCTGAGAAGACAGTGGGGATAACACAAAACGATTTTTTCCTGTTCTCTTTCTAGCTGAATAACTCAAAGGGTCTTTCGGTGTTTCTTCCTGCAAATGGAATCTG